AAAGAAAAGAAAAGAAAAAGGTAAGGCCAGTAAAACAAAAGAAATTTTTAACTTCATTTCATTATTAACAAATGCACACAATTTCTGAATCAAATAGAAGACTCCAATATGATTATTTAAAAATAGCAAGTCATAATTAGGGTTTGTTCCAAGAATGTTAAGATGGCTCACCGTCAGGAAATGTACCATTTTGTACTCATTACAAAAGTGCCTTGAGGGAGAGAAGGATTCACACGTTCACCTCAGCAGGTGTAACGATTAGCTATGGTGTGCCTGACCATGAGCTGAGGGACAGAAGTGTCTTTTTCAACTTGATAAATTCCGGAAGGAAGTATGAGGTTCTCGTGAAGGTAAACGTTCTGTATCTAAAGAAGAAATGACGGGTAGGATGCTCATGACTGGCTGGGGGTACAGGAAGAAGGCGGATCAGAAGCACTGGATGGCACTCAGGTCGGCGCAGGAGACGCTAGTCTGAGGCGATCACCCGCCTCTGTGCGGGGCCAGTGGAAGATGGTGGCTGATCTCAGACTGTGTTAAACATGCATGTTAAAATTTTCACAGTCACCAATGGGGAAAAGTAGAAATAAAAACATCAGTGCAAAGCACTAGAAAAAGAGGAGAAAGGAAGAAAGAAACTTTTTCAAGTCCATAGAAGTAAGAAAAGAGAATTTTAAAAGCCTATGAAAAGGAAAAAGTAAAAATAAGAAAAGCACGGAAACAGTAGCACCCGTGAGATGGTAGAGATGGTGCTGACCCACGGGCATGATGAGGGGCCAGGATCGATGCCCACCAGGGAGGCCAGCAGCCCAGCAACACCAATGCAGGACCATTTACAAGAGCACCCGAGGGCAGCAACCCCCACTCTCTTTTGGCACCAGGGACCGGTTTTGTAGAAGGCAATTTTTCCACTGACCCAGGGGGGTGGTTGGGGGCTGGATTCAGGATGAAACTCTTCCATCTCAGGTCGTCAGGGATTAGATTCTTGTAAGGAACACGCACCCTAGATCCCTCGTGCGCACCGTTCACAGTAGGATTCTCGCTCCTATGACAATCTAATGTGGCGGCTGAAGGGATGGGAGGCCATGCTCGCTCGCCTTCCACTCACCTCCTTCTGTGCAGCCTGGTTCCTAACAGGCCATGGTCTGCGGCCTGGGGGTTGAGGACCCCTGTCCTAGGACACTGGATCCTCCTTGGCTGTAGCCCCCACCCACCTGGAGGCTGTGGAAAGGGCCCGAGTAGGTGGAGAGCAGTGATGTCATCAGGCTCGTTTTTCTCTCTGGGAATGCAGCTGGGCTCTGCTGCAATAACCATCACCCGTGTAGTTAATTGCTCAGTATTGGTCTTCATTCTATTGCCCTCGGTGCTTCTTGCCTTGCCTGTCCCTGCCTCACTTCTTTAATTGGAATAAATCCCAATTGTGTAGGGTCCATGTGACTTTCCCCAGAGTCCCAGGTGCTGTCATCTTAGATTTCTGCCATTTGGAAGGCTGTCTTCCTGTTTTCTTCTACTTGGAGGACGTTTTGTCGCCATATTCTTGGGTCATGTTTGGTTTTGT